TATTTATAATTTCATGTATGTTACATTTAATCTGTGCTAAGTACCTATATCGTTTTTGTTATGCACGTATTGTATATTGTTATTATCTGTTTGTAGATGTAGTCGTTATACTATTAATCATCTGTGGGATCAGTATAATAATCGAAATTATTACAATATCAATACTATGTTGGAAACATCGAGATATAAGAAACTCTCAGCTCGCCTCTTCACCGGAAGAAAACTTTTACGTAAGTCGTTTTCAATTGACTACCTACATATGAATGGGTACTACTATCAACACACACTATAGGTAAATTTCATTGCTTACCTCACACTGAACCACATGTTCTCTCCATATTAAGTATGTGAATATGACAAACTACATTTTATAAATTTCAGGATTTAATTTGACTATTTTATATCTATTACTGTTGTACTAATATAATTTACTATTATAAAAATATGTTATAGTGGAAATCACGAGGTATGACCATCAATGGTAAACAACTTGTTAGTCTCGTCTCGTTTCGCAGGCGATAACTTGTTCTTCGCTTCCATAGCAAACAACGCTTGGAGCATTGTTGACATGATGAAGGCAAATCCTGATATTGTACTGCTTGTTTAATTATAAATATATCGAAAACACAACTGAGGACCAGTACTGCAAAAGTATCAATCGCTGGACACCAGTGTCGTGGTCGACCAAAGCTTTATGGTTCGCTAAGATTTAGATTATTTTTCTGTGAAGATGTGGCTTGTTCAAACTCAGCATAGAGAAGTTTGAACGAGAGGCAAACAGTAGGATACAAATTAGGCTATATTATACAATATTTGCATTGTTCAGACTCCGACAAGTGGCCACTTTACAAACTGCACTCAATGCGTATCATGGGTTTATTTCTTCTGTATTGCGTTATGGATTGCTAATCTGGGGCAACTCATGTGACATAGATAGAGCTTTTAAAGCTCAAAAAATATGTATTAGAGCCCTTTGCAATGTCGGATGCAGAGAATCATGTAGACCTCTATTTAAGAAACTTGGTATTCTTCCTTTGCCTTGTATGTATATACTTGATATCTGCACGTTTGTGAAACAACATCCAAACTTGTTTAGCACACATGATCAGATAAAAGACTGTCTCAGATCACAGAGAAGAAATAAAATATTGGTACCAAAGAGCAATTTGACGCTTTACCAAAGGAATGTATCATTTATGGCACAAAAAATCTTTAATAAATTACCAACGGACTTGAGAAAAATGCCCCTAAATAAATTAAAAAATCGATTATATTACTGGTTGCTGGACAAGTGTTTTTATGACATCAAAGAATATTTATCTGATGATTGTTGACTTTTTTTTTTTATTACTATATAATTAGAATGGTACATAAGACATTAATTTTAAATTATAATATTATAGATTATTCCATTTTAATATACCCAAAATTTGCATGCCCGTAAATTGAGGCAATTAAACAGTTGCCAATAATATTATTACCTGGACATATTATAATATCTAACTGTATAATACGCAAATAAATAAATTTCATTTCAATTTCATTTCATTTTATTTCATTTCATTTCAATTTCAATTCATTTCATTTCAATATGTTCTATTTTCTTTTTATTTAAAATGTATATTACAACTATGCATGCGTTGGTATTCTATAAGTATAGAAATATTAATATTATAGACATAATTGTATTTAAATACGTTAATAAGTGAAAACAAATAAATTAAATAAATAAATGGTACTTACTGTCTTATCTATTTGATTTTTTTAACAATATTTTGGTTACCTACCTACTAAACAGGAAATTTCAGACATTTTATTTTCATACCACTTATGTGGTATACAAGCCTACGGCCCATCTGATGGTAAACGGTTACTGTAGCCTATGGACATGATATAACCATGTGTATATTACACATGGTCATACACGTATCATGTCAGAAATAGCTATAAATAACAAAACTTTCGCTGATACAATTTTATTTATACTCCTACTGTTGTCTTTAGAGGTACTTTCAATTTTATGTTTTCGTTTACTCGAGAACAATTTTAAACAAATGTAGAAATAAATTACGTCCTGTACTACAATTGGAATCTCTAATTCTCAAACGATGCGTATGTGTAGCTATATTTAAAAGAAATCAAATATAATTAGGTAATCAAACGTAATATATTTTCATTACGGGTTACAAATAAATTTAGCTATACATATAATAAAACAGTAGGGATCGAATTTTTGTACGTAGAAAAAAAAGCTAAACATCCAGTCAAAGGGATGTTAGAAGTGAAATAGATTTATTTAAGATAAAACACATTTCGATTTTTTCAAATTTATTGTTTCTCTGTTTGTACAGGGTAATCTCCAAAATCTGGGAGAATTACAATGAAATTTTGCATGGAGGTAGCTTACATACAGCCCCTGTCAACATCTTAAGTAATTTTAAGAACGGAAAATTAAAGAGTTCCCATAGTTAAAAATCTATAGTAACTTATTTAGCTTGCTACAACCTACTTAAGTAAATTCATTTTGACCTAAGGCAAAGAGTGAGAACGACATGTCATTTACTAATTTTGGTGCAGTATTCCCAGACATAATAAATATGTAGATAAGTACAAATATCGATACATATTATTCTTACAAACCTGTAAAAATTCAACCCTACATCCTGGCTTTCCCAAGTCGAGAGATAAACGAGATATTCTTATTATAATATTACTTATAATAAAAGTTTTAAATTCAGTATTATTAGGTCAAACATGCTAACCAAATACTTTCGGGACCCCGCGTAACCACATAAAGAATCAATAGATAGCGCTATTCGTTAATTTAATGACTCAAGGTAAAAATAACACTTGCTGTAGCATCGTCTGGAATAGCGGCCACTTTGTTACTTGGAGATAAAACTGCCCATACGATGTTCAAAATCCCCATAGATATGGATATGAATGTACACGCTGTCTGTGGTATCTCTACACATAGTGATAAAGCGAAGGTTTTAAGAGATTGATGTTTAATAATTGGGGATGAGTTCGCTATGGTACGTCGAAAAGTAGTAAACGGTTCATAGAACCCTCAAAGATATTTGCAAAATTACCAACCAATGAGTTGTTATGGGATGATGATGATTAATGCTGTTTTGTGGGGCTTTTAAAGTAACGTTTATAATAGTACCACGAGAAACAAAGGCCAATGAGTTTGAATCATGCTTTAGAGACCTCAATCCTTTGATGATACAGATGCACTTAACAGTAAACAAGAAGGCGTGGACAGCAGGAAACACAAATTGACATGAATTTTCTGATTTATTACCAAGTATTGGTGAAGGAACGTATTCGGAAGAAGATGGGTGTACCCGACAGTTATCACTTCCCTCGCACCGCAGGTGAACGCGTCCACTATCCTCACGCTATATATGCGCAAGCGACACGGACAGCTGTAAACTTCAATCATTGTTTCATTCCTGAGTATTTCACCACTCCACGCTTACCTGCATCGGCATCAAAGGGCAAATCTACTGAACCGATTTAAATGAGATTTGATACACAGATAGCCTGAGAGAGGTCATTGGCTACTTTTTAGTGAGAAAAAAGGGTTATAGGGGGTTAAAAGCAGATATTAATGGTTATACAAAAAAATCGAATTTTTTTAAGTAAATCTATGAAACTCTTTTGTTTTATAATCTAACTAAACATATTTTCTTTATTTGGTCAAGGTCATTATACCACTCGGACGAAGTCGCGAGCACAACTAATTAATTAATATAACGGCCCTAGATACTTTCTGCCCTCTACAAAAATGACCTGGCATGAAGATAAATATATAATGTTTTGGTAAGTAAGATATACAGTAACTGGTTAGCACAGTTTAAGTAATTACTGGGTAGTTGACGCATCATAGCATCATTTGTTTGTTACAGTTAATTATATCCTTAAATATATTAATCCATGACACCATTGTATCTTAATCGACAGCATTTTGTTAAACAATATTATTTTTTTGTAACTTACCTAATGTAAGTAGTCGTGTTAGGTTAAGTCGAACAATGCAAGGAAAATCAAAATTAACCATTTTATCCTTAAACATATTAATAATGTTCGTATTATTGTTGTCTGCATATTAGCTATAAGCTATCAGTTTGAATGTATGAACTCCAAATTTGCTCACTTGGTTAGAAAATTCATTCATATTCATATTATTAATATAGTTAAGCGGATCTTAACACGGGTAACTTTATGTCAAATACTATAACTATCTATAAAATACTATATTTAATTACCTCCACGTTTAGTCGTAGACGCGTAAGTTTAAAAAGAAGTAATATGGTCATAAACCTTTATGCACCCGGCTACACTAGCGATGGTAACACTAGCGGGACCCATTGGAAAACGATAAGAGAACCACACAGCCAGTTATTCATTCCATCGTTTCGTAGTCACCACTTTGGTTTGGTCAGGAACGCGTGGGGGCTGACCTGATAGGATTAATTACCAGCGATAGTCCCCATTACTTACGTTCTTCTAAATGTGGCATCCCACATTTATACGCATTATATGTATTATGTTCTTTTTTAAAATCAACTAACAATCATAAAAAAACTTTCATAATCTAGCACAATCAATAATAATAATAATATATTTATTCCAAGAATAAATGGACACATAGACATACATTTAAATTCATTTTTACAAATTACAACTTTACTTACAAATTACATATCACTGTTTACTTAAAAAAATAAAAAACTAAAGAAATGAGCCTCTCAAATTAAACATTAATTGCTAAAATAGTCACCTAATTATGTACATTGTCGGAGATAATACCGTGTAACACATCTGCCCCGATTTCATGAACGGGAATCATTACCGACGTAATCGTACTGAATGATGTGCAACACTTTTGATTTTTTAATTGTGACATTATCACACTACCAAGTACTGTTTATTTTTTATTTGATTCTAATTAGAAATAAAAATTGTACTCCGATAATTGTAATGGTAAGACGATGGTACGCGTGCCGCTAGCGAGCTCGCCACCCACCCCGGTACAATTACTTAATAAAGACTTGGAGAAAATTGCAGCCTGGTCACAAGAAAATGCATTAGTTATTAATCCAAAACAAAAAAATATGATTCTTGGATCAAAAAAACAAACGCTGCTATAATAAATAGAAATATTACAGTAAATATCCCGGATCAGAGTATAGAACGAGTTGAAGAAGCGTGAAACTTGGGAATTACTTTTAAGAGTTAACTGCGATTTTAAAAACACATATTAAATGTAGTAGAACAATGTTTTTATCGCCTTAAGGTCCTATACAAAATTCGTAATTTATTATCAGAAAGAGTTCGTATTACACTATGTGAATCATTAATCTTATCCAAATTTAACTATGGATACATGGTATGTATGGTACATTTAAACAATCAAAAGCGCGAGAGTAGTCGAGTGAAGTTAAAATAATACCACGACCAACATCTTGTGAAGCAAGAATATCATCTACAACATCCAGCAAAGCAGTGGTTGTGCTTTTACCTTTACGGAATCCTGACTGGTACTTTGCCAAGATGTTATTTGTTTCAACGTTCAAGGTTTCAAGGTTCAAAGTTCTGTATTTTTAGGATACATTTTAAAATAAATATGCACTTATATAATCTTTTTAGGTACTTGTTTAAATTCTGAAAATAAAATTTTCATTACAATCAGTAAATAGTGCTTACTGTACATACGGAACACTCAAATCGTGAATTCGTTTCCAAAACCCTATTTATACGTACTTATATACGTACAAGTATATATAATAATGACTATTAAATAATATTAACAATGAGGAAAATTTTTAAAGTGATGGTCGTGTTATAATGTAATGTGTATTTATTATACATTATGTACGTTGTGTATTTGTTATTAATTTTGTTTACACAAAATACTTGTGCTGACGAGTATAATTATTACGGCTGTGGTAAGTTATAAAAATATTAAAAGTAAAAATAATATACACATATTAATCAAACCAAGCTTTCATTTTTATTTTTTGGTGTACGTTAGTATGTAGCCTGGTTATGCAAAGAGAATGTTTTAGACAAATTATAAGTTTTATTGAAAGCGATGGTAACGGTAAGTGACAGTGAGAATTAATAAACTCATAAAGAAGACTTTAAACTAACTATACAGAGAAATATCAGGTATAATTTGGCATTCACTGAATACTAAAGAGTGAGTCAGCTAAAATAAAACCAAACATGAACAAGTTAAAGAAGATAAGTCTTAGTCAGTGACTAGTTCATATTCACTTTACTTTACTACTTAATGCGCGTATTGTCTGAGATAATGAAAACCTTTATCCTTATATAAAAGCCTACTGAGGTACTCTGCCTTGCTCCCTACTACAAAAAGTCCTATGAAGAGTCCAATCCTATAAGTGATTCAGGCGTAGGCTACGGTAACTGTTTACGTCGAGGTATAAAAAAATAAACTACTTATCTTTCTGTATTAACGTTCATATTTGTTCCACTTCTTGCTTTCTACCTATAACAAAAATGTTAACTAGCTACTCCGTCTGATGTAAGATTTTCTAACTATCCTTATGTAAGTGTAGAGACAAACAAGCTATATGACCACCTAACGATAAGTATGTACTCGTACATGAACAGTGCTACGGACTTTAACTCACCATGGACGGCGCCCGTGGTAGTGAAGGCGTGACACTTATAGTAGTTCTCTGGAATGACAATGCATTCCAGAGAACTGAAATAAGTGAAATAAATTATAACAATTATAATATATTTTGTTTCAGATGGGTCACAAATAATATACTACTTTTATGGTGACACATTATCAGTAAATATACAATTGTATAATTTACCCGAGGTAGCAAATAGATATGTAGTTAAAGGTAACATTAACAAATCTTTATTTTTACATAGTCTTAATATATAGAATATTATAAACGCGAAAGTTTGTGAGTATGGATGTTTGTTACTATTTCACGCAAAAACTACTGAAAGGATTTTGATGAAATTGTACAGATATAACTTATGCATCAGAATAACACATAGGCTATATTTTATATTGAAATTTAACGCGGGTAAAACCGCGGGGCACATCTTGTATCATATAAAACAAAGTTGCCGCCACTGTCTTTACACTTATATCTTTAAGTTACTCAAGGAATTTTAATTCAGATTTCAGTAATAGATAGCGATTCGAGGCGAAAGTTATTTTTGCCAGTTTATTAAAGTGTAGCGCTTTACTAGTAATAAATAAATGTAATATTACACTTTAGCATTAACAGTTTACCAGTACAAAATTACAATAAACAACTTATAATGAGAAAATACATAGTACAGGTATTATATATATTATCATTTTTTATCAAAAAACAACAGAGGAAATCGCGAGAAATAACTAGTATTATCAGTTTTTTGTTGAATGAATGGTATGTTTAAATGCCTATTCGATTATTTGGCTCAGGATGACATCGTGAGGACTGTTGCTCTTACTTCATAAAACTAAGTAGAAAAGTCTGATGTCAGCTATAGTTACATTCTGCGTAAGCCATAGAGAGATCTCCATGATTGTCGTTGCGGTTGTTTTTATACAGCTGAACAAACAAGTCTGTATACAGACTTTAGTTTATTGGTTGTGGGTGACAGTTACGTACTCATTCACTAAATCAAAGACCGTTAGACCAGATCCCATTGACCTTATCACAGCGTTATATAAATAGAATGTTATTTTTAGTGAGATATTACAGTTCTTTCTATATTTTTCAATTGTTAAAACGCAATTTTGTAGTCAAAATATTTGTTCTAAAGTAGTTTACTATATACTTGTAGTTTAACACATCTTATATACATGACAGAACAGAACTTACACTTCAGTTCTGTTCGGAAAAGTTTCGACACTCTTCACTCTCACTAGAGCTCTTTTATTTCTAAACATCATTCAGAGAAGAGTCAAAATTCTATTAGACTTGATTTTCTTTAACTTTTCTAAATTCTTAATTTTGACCGTCAGGTGTGGTATCATTGGATCATTAGAAGTCGCTTGTAATTTCAAGTTACCGGGAGTGTGTTTCTGCTCTATTGTGTGTTATATAATTATTTGTTATTCCGTAATTTATTTATTCAAATTCAAAATTATTTATTCATGTAGGACGTTTTAGCCGCTTATGAACGTCAAGTCTTTTACATTATGATTTTAATTATTTACCCTACCGTCCAGTTCCGTATTGACCATGTGCACGGCCACAATGCCCGAGTCAGTCGCCGTCTAGCATACTCAACTATACGGGAACCCACACTAATATTACAAATAGTAAATATTTTACAACCAGCACTTATTCTATTTTTAATAATGATATTACTAATAATACTAGTTTGGATATACATTGTTAAACATTATATGAGCTATATTTTCATTAAAATAATAAGGATTGCAAAAATATAACCGAAAATATAAAAAAATCCTCTTCTGACTATCTATATCACATCAAAACTAAAATATTTTCAGACGGTACTATATATATAAAAGATGAATGGCTTGAAGGTACGAGTACATCAGTTACGATCAGAGATTCCTTATCACATAGTGATAATAAAGTTTATCATCTATTATTGTTGAGAGCCGACCGAACAATATGTGCTGAAAGGAGATTATTCCGTTTAAACTACAAGTCGTCATGGTGGACGCATAGTAAGTAAAACTAGATTACGATATTCATAGTTGTATAGTTGTATCATATTATATCAAAGTACATATAATTGTAAACACAATGAAATTTTAAAAAGTCTTTACATTGTCTCGTATACTATACTTAAGAATTAACAACAAGTCATGGTGGCGAATAGAATTCATCATGTACAAAGTAAAAGTCCACACGGACCTGGTTGATACCCAAAAAATAGTGAACAGTTTGTTGAAATTCATTCATTCACTAGAGAGTCGAATTTGTATTATATTTTGTTCTGAGAAACAATGTTTTATTTTTGAGTAATTATTATTAAATATTTTTAATAATTAAATTATGTTTAAAGACTTCATAAAGACTGTAATTGGTAAAAAGACAGTGTCCTGTTCAGTCTCCATCGATGTCTCTCGGGAAAAAGACACCTTCAGCCGATTCGTTTTAATAATTGTCGCACCTGCCTGTGAACATGGTATACCCTGTTGGGGAGCCAGTGGGAGATTATAGGATGCTAATGAAGTCAGTAATTTAACAATTAGTAACTAGAACGGATTCCAGGTAGATCTGACCACGAACTCCCCTAAGTTGCACGCTCCCATACACATGCATGAATGGGTACACACATGTGTATATTAGCGTTTTCTACTGTTGTTAGTTTGTTTGGTGTACCGTTGTTCACTTTAAAAGTAAAGGAAAACAGTAACATAACATAACAAAAAATATTTTAATGTATGTACCATTATACCTAAGATTTCAAATTGATTTCAAAGATTGTGTTCTGACTTTGTCATAAAAATTGTAATAATTATGATCTGTGTATTATATATATTTTAGGTCCTTCATCACACTCGTATTCATGTGGTATATATTTTCAATACAAATGTGATGGTAAGTACCCGCCTAATAACGATAAATTATTTTAATTATACAACATTTCTATGTCAACAGTACTCTATTCCCCAATACAAGGAAGAAAATGTGCTATAGAACACAAGTAGGTGAATATTGTCTATAAGAATCCGTTCTATTTTAATCTATCATTCCAAATCTTTCGAATGAATCTCGATGACCACTGCAGAATTATATTAACATTACTTTATTTATTAATAAAATACATTTTTGTTAACAACAATATATGGCAACCATGGTCTATGTACATGAACATCACGTCATCATACGATGTCCGTATTATCTACCACTGATGCGTTACCACTTCGGAGGATTCAGATTTAGCCTCTGTACGTTGTAATTTTACTGACAGATCTCATCTTAAAACTAAAACACAACATACAAGCTACGGTTGGAGTTTCACAAATGCGTATCGATTGTAGTTAAAGTAATTAATTATTATATGTATAATAAATATTATACATATATACTTACAATATACAGGGTTAATCGCAATGAGTACTACAAGCGTAGGTCAGGTCGAGTAACAAGTAAAAAGTGGAAACCAATAAAGTAAATTATTAATTTTAAACTAAATTAATCACGTACCTGCAGTTTATATGAAAGTATTCAATTATATTTTTCATATTTTTAGTTTTCTTCTTGCAATCTAAATTATTACAGTACCCTAAATACTATCTATTAACTTTCGGTGTAAAATTAAGTCAACTATGAACCTTATATAGCGTAAATAAACTATTATTTATTGTATCAATACTTATATTCAGCCCCACCTCGATCCAATTCACAATACCTAGAGAAAAAAGAAGGATCTAAATATAAATATAAATGCAAACGTAATGGAAGAAGTACAATTGCTTGGTGGCACTACACAAGTAACAATCAGTCATTGGGTAAGATCGTTTATTCCAAATAACTAACAAAAGAATAAAGTTTTCGGATCGATTCTATTTGCTTGTGTACGGATTCTGATAATACTACGAGTAGATAGCATCTTTAGATATTGTTTTATTTTGAATTTTTGTTATCTATTCTTTTTCTATTTTCTTTAATGTAACTAAACAACAGTCGGCACAGACACGTGCAATGCACAGGATCTACAACCATTGAGACATAGTTTTATAACTCAATATAATAAACGAATCCCACTCGGCTGGACTGTATTGCGGAAACTATGTTACATTTTCCATTCATAATTTATTATTTATTTATTATTAAACCAGAAACGGTTTACTAAACATTAGTTATTTTAGACAGTTACATGGAGAGTGGTTTCAGCTAGCTTAGTAAATTATTGCTTTCAGTTCTAGGTTATGCGGAAAATCCATATAGGGACTATGATTTGGAAATCTCCATGGATGTACAAGTGTTTGATAACAATACGATCATGATGTGCAGACAAAATTCATACGACGGCTATGTTGAAAACATCACAGTGTTAAATGTAAAATCTGCAAATTCGGGTATGTTAATCTTAAAAGGTAATATTTGTATCAACTAACAGCTTACTGACTCAACGAGGTAAAGTTTGTACGAAGTACTGCTGTTACATCCCTGTGTCCCTCTTCAGCCACCAAACAGATTGCTTTGTCTTCATCTCATGATCGTCATAGATGTGATCTTTCTACGAAACTAGATGAGATGAAACGTAGTAGTCAAATTACGGGGTAGTGTACCAACCTATTGTAATATTATATATTAACAATAACATTTTTAAATTTCATTAAATTGAACAGTCGCGAGTACCAACCTTTTCCAATTTGTAAGTTCCTAATAAATATTAAATTGTTCTTCAAGAAATAAGTTTTATTTTTATTTTTTATTCGTGTGGATGTACGACGCCTTGTCCTTTGGAAATAACACGCAGGAGTGATGTGATAAAGTGCATGTTCATTGTTCAACCGACTTATTGTTGCCACTTAACATTAGGTGGGCAACAGCCAGATTATTTGGCATTCCATTATCTGCATCAAATAAAACCCATACAATAATATAGGTCACGCAGTATATTAGAATTACGACAATATTGTAACGCAGTTACAGTCAGCAGTCTAGTTCAGTACAAAATTTAGTAGTATAGGTGTTACACAAAATACCTTACTGAGACATAATACTATTATATATAGTAGTGGCCCATTGGTCGAAATTCCACATTAAGTAATTTATTTCAAAGCCTATAAATGAAATAATAATAATATATAACAAAATCAGTGAGAGTAGCTCTTCTTGCATTGTCGTTGAACGTAGTGCATACTCGTACATATATTTGTTAATAATTACGTGCACTCGGTGAAGAATCTGTGCAGCGCGTGTCACCTACTGTTAACTGTCTAATATCTATCGTTACAGACGAAGTAGAAAAGAAAACAACAAACGATCACAATGTATACTATACATCCAACGAACAACAATATATATATTGTCCAGGAAATTATTTATATCAAGTAGATGGTAAGTACATAATGAATACATATTTCAGAACACGTTACAATGTTTAATTTAATACACTTAAATAGTTTAAACAATTTGAATTTAATTTGTAAATGTTTTATAATCACAACTTCACATATACGCCATATAAAATATATATATGTATTTAAATTAATAGTACTTCTAGCACTGTCAGTAGTCGAACTATAATAGCCATCTATACTTACCGATTTCAACGTGTTTGACAATAAAGGAAAAGTTCCACTCTCCACGTTGTGTATAAGGCAGCATATTTTTGGGTGCCCTATACACATATATCTTCGAAGGTTAGAGGTTTAAAGATATACGACATAATATCGTTTTAGTTAAAAAAGTTACATACTTTGTTGTTGTCAGTTTTTTAGCAATCGAATCCTTCATCTGTGTATCTACAGTACTATTTGATCCAAAATTTTGCTCCGAATGTTTAGCAGTGTGTTTTGTTACTGAATATATTTATTATTTACTCAGTGATCAATTGAATATGAACGTAATAAATAGGCAGACAGTATATTCTAAAAAAGGTTATTTTGCTTCTCACGACAGAGTCGTGGCCTAATGCTTTACTACACCGACTTAGAAACCAATGGTTTTGGGTTCAAATTTGACCAACATCAACATAAAGTGTGTCCATTTATATTTCGGACTGACAATTCGTTGATGGAAACACCGATAACAAACCATACCAATCTGAGAAACGCCTGTATGCTTGCCTCCTCTCGCCACTACATTCCATCTAAACATATCAAGTGTTGCGTTCACTATGACGTTAGCAATTCCGAATGTCTCTGACTACAGCAATAAGTATACCTACTACCCGACTATGTTATAACACAGTCGGGTAGTTTTTACAACTTATTATTAGTCTCCATATCAAAAAGACAATATTATTAAATTTACTTTTTACTTCAGCTTATCGCGGATATTTTAACTAATTTACACAAGCTTTCCGCAGAAATTATTATGTAGTCTGTTGAGGTTATCGCGAAAACAGAGAAACCCGGCAGATACTTTGTTTTGGAATGTGTATAGGAGACACTGTTTATAATGAATAATTCACGTAATATCTCTCTTTTCAGCAAACAACATAGTTACCATGACCAGAACAATAAAGCCATACGACAGCAATCAGACAATAATATTGACACAACACGATAATAATACAAAATTGTATTGTGTAAATTATGCATGCATGTATCAAACTAAATACAAATGTGAGAGGAAGATACTGAATAAATATATTTTTTACATAACAAATTACAATATGGGTATGTAAAAATCTAATACGTAGGTACTGAATACTAGACCTGCTAATATGTATTAAAATAATAACGACAAAAGTACCCTGTATTTTAACCCCATCTAGTATATCCGTAGGCTACTACGCTACTGTACTGACTGTAATTGTTGTTTTATGTATTTAGAATAAAAAACAAGCTGACGGCTCGTCAAATGGTAAATGGCGGCATGGCAATGACCTATATACGAGTATATCACAGAACAGCACCACAGATATAACGTTATCACGTGACTCCCGTGGTACCTCACGTCCCATACGTTGTCTAAAGTCCTATGATGTCATGCCCGTACTCTGTAATATCACTACTTTATTCTCGTCCCTCATATATAATGTAGTTTCCTGGCTGAAATAGGTGAGACAGAGGTACGCACGCGGATGATTTTGTACAGAGTCCACATCGGTACACGGTTTTGTTTGTATCTACGTAAAGAATTATATGAACTGGTATGATAAATGAGCTGACGGCCCATTACATTATCATGTGATGATGTAATGGGCCGTCTTATTGGCTTACCGAGGAAGACTTTGTACGAAGTACCTCTTTCCATGACCACCATCGATGTCACTACAATATGAATATGAACTGATGACGTATTAATGTCATCAGTTTGGATATTATATTAACAATAACATTAAAAATTCCATTAAATTCGCAGTCACGAGTAGCATCCAACGGAAGATCCTAATAAATATTAAATTGTATTTCAACAAATAGGTTTCTATTTATTTTTTATTGATTGGATGTACGACGAGTCTTTTCGAGAGTTCTCGAAAGCTCTCGAAAAGACACGCAGGAGTGATGTCAACCGACTTATTGTTGCCACTAAACTTCAAGTTGGCCACAGCCAGCTTGCTTGGTATTTATTATTTAAAAGAGACACACAAGTTTCTTGCTCATTCTTCTTATGATAAGACAACTTTCCAAATGAGCGGTGGATTAAAAACATTGTTATTATTATTAACTATTTAAAAGCTTTATATAAGTTTATCTGAATAAAGGATTTTCCATTTTATTTTATTCGATTATCTATTGTACATCAAATAAATCCCATACAGATCATGCACATTATATCTACTAGTCTATTACAGTTACAACAATATTGTAACCTGTAAGCAGTCTAGTTCATTACAATAATTAGTAGTACAGGTGTTACACAAAATACTTAACTGGCACATAATACTATTGTGGCCCATGTGTACCTGTGGCCCATTGGTCGAAATAGATGAATTAATAATCTATACATCTACACATATAAATAAAATTGGAGTGTCTGTTTGTAATATTGAACTAACCGTTTTTACTACATGTATATGAATATAAATATGGCACATATACCAAAATAACATTTTTTACAATTTTTTTCTGTCTGTCTATCTATCTGTTTGTTGCCGCTAATCTCTGAAATGGCTTGGGCGATTTTGACGGGACTATTTTGGCAGGTAGCTGATGTAATAAGGAGTAACTTAGGCTACCTTTATTTTAGAAAAATGTTTTTTTTTAAGAAACTTAAATTCCACGCCAGTACAGCCGCGGGTACAGCTAGTATATAATAAAATCAGTGAGAGTGGCGTCTTCTCACGTTGACGTTGAAATAGTAGTGCACATACATATAGTTGTCAATAATTACGTGCACTCGGTGAAGAATCTGTACAGCGTGTGTCACCTACTGTTAACTAACATCCTCTAATATCTATACTTACAGACGAAGTAGAAAATAAAAAAATAATCGATCATAATGTATACTATACACCCAACGAACAACAAAATATATCGTGTCGAGGAAATTATTTGTATCAAGTAGATGGTAAGTAGGTACCTAATGAATACATATTTTAGAACACTAAACTAGTTTAAATTATTCCGTATTAATTTGTAACTGCATTATAATCACGACTTCATATATACGCCATATAAATTATATATAGTACTATATATTTGTATTAATAGTACCTCTAGCACTACCAGTAGTAGAACTATGATAGCTATCTATACTTACCGATTACAATGTCTGGCTATAAAGGAAAAGTTCCACCCCCCACGTTGTGTATAACCCAGCATACCTTCGCTGCCCTATACACATACACATATACCTTCAAATATTAAAGTCGCTATAAAGCGATACTGTCCCGTATGGCTTTATGGCTTGAAGTATTTACTCAATGATCCGCTGAATATAGACGCAATAAATAAACAGACAGCGTATGCGTATGTTGATTTTTACTACAGAGTGTCATGGCCTAATGGTACATCTACACTGTCTTTGAAACCAATGGTTATGGGTTTTAATCTGGCCAACATCAACATAAATTGTGTCTATTTATATTTCTGACTGAAAATTTGTTGGTGGAAACACCGATAATAAACCATATCAATCTGAGAAACGCCTGTATGCTTGCCTCCTCTCGCCACTACATTCCATCTAAACATATCGTAAACAATTCCAAATGTCTCTGACTACCGCAATAGGTATAACACAGTCGGGTAGTATTTACAACTTATTATTAGCCTTCATATCAAAATGATAATATTATTTAATTCGCTTCCCGCCCCAACTTAGCGCGAATATTTTAACTACTAATTTACACAAGATTTCCTCAGAAATTAGTATGTTAGTGGATCATAAAAATACCCCATGAAAATTCATACTGTATATGTGTATAGTTTTTGAGGTTAACGCGAAAACAGAGAAATCCGGCTAGATTGTGTTTTGTAATGTGTATAGAAGACACTGTTTATAATGAATAATTCACGTAAAATCTCTCTTTTCAGCAGACAACATAGTTACCATGACCAGAACAATAGAGCCATACGACAGCAATCAGGCAATAATATTGAAACAACATGATAATAATACAAAATTGTTTTGTATAAATTATACATACATGTATCCAAATAAATACCAATGTAAGAGGAAAATACTGAATAAATATATTTATTACTTAAAAAATCGCAATGGAGGTATGTAAAATATAGTTTTAGTGATTATTAGTTAGATAGTATTATTATCTAATGACTGAGCCATTAGATAATAATAAAAATATGTAAACCCGTCAAAGTACTGCGGAATAGTACATAGTCACTAAATAATACAGTAATCAATAGTTAAGTAAAAAAAATACGACTCGTATATATGTTGTGAAAGATTAACACAAACGAACAAGTTTTCGCCAGGTCGCAATTTTTAAATTTTATTATATACTAGCTATACCCGCAACTTCGTCCGCGTGAAATACGTTGAACAAATAAAGAAAAATTATCTAATAATCTTAACCAAAAATTCTATAAAAAATTTATCCGCTAATTTCATTTAACCCCCGTAACGTCTATACAAACTTTAAATTTAACATTTATTTATATTTAATCATCAATATAAACAATAAGCATCCTACGTCCTTTCTCAGGGTTTATAATAATAGGATGTACCAAATTTCATATAAATCGGATCAGTAGTTTTGGCGTGAAAGCGAGACAGACAGACAGTCAGACAGTTACTTTTTCATTTGTAATTTTAGTAAGGATCAGATAAAACGATTTGTCCTACTTCATAAATCAGAAAGTTCATGTGCATTTGTATTTCCTGCTGTTCGCGCCCTCATGTCCACTATTAAGTCCAACAGTTTCGGAGATTAGCCTGTACAAACATATAAAGAGACAGAGAAACAATAAATTTGGAAAAAATCTAAATGTGTTCTATTTTACTTCTAATTCGGTTTTTCGCGTTATCTTTATGTGTACAGAAATTCGATCTCTACAGTTTAATTATGTATATGTATAGATAAAGATAACTAATTTATTAATACAATCAAAACCTGTTCTACTCTTTGGTTACAAGTACTGTTCGAGATACTCTTTTGTAATTAATTTAAATTTCGAATGCGCTTCGTATCTATTTGTTTTATGACAAAAATATTATTATAGAGATGTGAAAATACCATCATGGCGTTTCATTTATCTCGACAATTTTAAACTATGAATTATACAAGTACTATGCACCGATTACTTGCTCAACATTTGTATATTTCCATACTCCCTCAGATCGATCCCCCGTCCAATTCAAACAGGGATCTAAATTACGACGTTCGACGTACGACGATGTTCGATCCCCCAGCGGTGCCCTCAGACTATAGTCGTATCCATCAAGCGGGAGTTGGACTTCTATCCGTAGCCCTATCGTCCGTTCAAGCTGTAAATGCCAGCTGCGGTCAACAGCATTAGAGTAGTCCTAAAAAAATACTTAAATATCCAGTAACTAGAGTCTAATTTACATTGCAGATAGAAAAAACACTGCAGTCATTGTTTCCGCGTGTGTAGTAACTTTTATACTATCGTCTGCTATAATTCTACTGATCTATTGGAAGTACAAAATAAACCGCCGTGAGAGTAGGATTCCAGAGAATCAAGTTATATATGACGTAAGTTTCTGACAAACCAATAAACACCCATACATGAAGATTGCACATACAATACAATATAGCGTTCAGTCTGCACAGGTATCTGTATATAAATAAATTGCTTTTAGGGTTGACCACGTTCAATATTATTTTCTATTTTAATCGCTGCAATAGTAAAAAAACGAAAAAGTTTAGTTAACAATTTAGAACTATTTAGAATTTTGTATGGAAATCTACTTTAGATTATTTTACGAATTAAAATTAAATTAATTAATCCGGTCAATATTACCACCAGTTAGAGTACTTGTGTACTGGGAGAAAATCTTCCAGTACTACCTTAAACATTATAGAAGTTTTCAACATCTAAAATAGACCACATGGGTGGTCTTCTATGCAGACGGAAATCACCCAGAGTAGTATGAAAACGCGAAAGAACACAAAGTATGAGAAGGAAAACACGCATCAGATATACTAATATCACATTTGTTTAATCAATCTAGCTTCCCTGACTGCTGGCATGGCTGCCTTATAATGTTACACGCGACGTCTACCAGTAGGCCAGGGAGTATGAATTAAAAAATTAAACAATAATCAATATCGTTACAGGCCACTCCTCAATATGAGAACATTGGTCACCGAGTTACAAATGAGAATTCTGAAGACGACACCTATGTATATCTAGCTTCACCTGTTCAATACACTGAATTGTACATGCAGGCACCAACGAACAGACTTAACTATGATAGCGAAGACAGCCCGAAATATTCTCAAGTAATAGGTAGTGTTCGACCGCTGTGAATGAAGAGAACTATAGAAGTATACTGTCTACTCTACAGAAGTAAATCATTGATAATAATTAAATGAATATTAATGTAATAATAATAATATGTATTTATAATTCTCTGATAACAATTAATTTAATAATTAAGTAATATTTAATATTTATATATTTTGCATGCCTAATGAGGCAAAACATAATGGGACATTATATTACAATAACATCCACTGTAAACCTATGTTTAGTGCAAATAAATTTGATTTTATTTTATTTGATTGATATTAGGACTTTATACGATACTTAGCACGATAACACAAAATTCTATTGTTACGGCGAAATCTCGTTTGATTGGCGCATTTGGTTTCTCTACCCCGACCTCTCTGGAAATGCGCCAATCAAACGGCGTTTTACTAGGACTTAATAAGGTGAGCTTACTCTTAAAGAGTACACGTTGATATGTGTCCTCTTTATGAGTTTTAGCCCAGATAGCTTTAGCCGACAATACTATTCGAACGGCGCGGCGCAGTCTGTACGAGCCATCCGACTCTTAAAAAAATGGACTTGGAGCAAGTGAACAGTAACCTGATATCTATGTACATCACAGAATATACCTGCAACATCTGTCTTCCGCCTCATCTAAATTAAAAAAGAAATAATCTTTATCGAATAATTTTTATTCTACCACTCATTCGGAATGCAGACTCATCACTTCACAAGAATAAACAGAAAGAAACTAGCGAGTTCCTCTTTTAACAAATGTTGTTCAGCATTACATTTTAAGATTCTGTGTATAAACTGCCAAATATCTTTGACAAAAGTAATTCAATATTATTTATAAATTTTTCATGTTTAATATAATGGTTACTCTAATAACAATATACATCATCCATATGTATCAGAGCAGCCCAGTCCCTATAAACAGCACCAGTTCACGTGTATAACGGATGAGTGAGCTATCATTACGCTCAATAATATTGTAGGGAGCATAGTGACCTGTCCCATTGTGGCACCACTTGTCTGGTTACTAATATATCTAAGTATGTGCAATTGGTGCATTCACATAATGCACATTAACAAGAAGGAGGCATACGATAATCAACATGAAACCGCTACGCACTCATACTGTGTGCAATCAGATAATATTGTCAGCACTATGAATTTTTAGTTAGTTTTTTTGTAATTATTATTATAATTCATTTTTGTAACTCATAATTTTTTTAATAAGTTGTTTAATAAATAAAATATTTTATAGAACATTTAAATCTCTTTTTCTGGCAGTCTTAGGACTGGCAGTTTTACAAAAACTTACGCAATTCCCATAAAATTAATTACAAAATTTGGTAATAATGTAATTTGAATAAAACCAGTTTGTTTTTCTTAAGTTGCTTTTTATTGCAAATTCGAATAAAATAATAAAACTAATTATTAGTTATATTTTACTCATTAATTATAAATTTAGCTTCTATACTAATAATTATTTATTACTATTGGTGACATTAATGAAGTCTCTCCTAGAAATCATCGTGATTAATTCCTGGTGAATTCACGATGAGTTAACTGGCTTGACTTCATCCTCATCTTATTATTAGTTGCTAAGTCCTCGCCAGCTTATACTCTTAGCGCGGATGCACCATACCATGCAGATCCATTAATAATAATAATTAATATTTACTCATTTCCTTGACGCATAGTATAAAATTTTTGATGATACTAATTTGAAAAGAAAGCTACGCGTAAGGCTACACAGATATTTAAAATGAATCGTAATTAATTTAAAACAATATTATGTTTATGTACTATTTTCTACTAAAACAGTAATAAGTTACGAAACAGTATTAGGTTACGAAATCTTACAATATTCTATTGTACTTAGAATATTCTCTTCATTTCTACGTGATACATGGACATACTAAGACAAATTGAAACTCTACAATGTCTCCAACGCTGGCGATACTTTCATACTTAGTTTAGGTAAACAAAATAAAAGATGTTTAATTAATGATCCCAAAACTTTAAAATATACTAGTATTAGAGACCTTAGAGACCATTAACAATAGGTACTATTACAGATAAATGAATATTACATAGTAGGTTTAAATATATATAAAGTTGGCTCATGGCGCATACAACTCGGTCTTTCACGATTAGAAGACATATGAATTTATATTGAAATATACGTGACTCTTATAAGTATAAGTATAATTTATCAAATATATAATAATAATAATATAACTCAGGACAATTCACATAGCGCCATCTAGTCCCAAGCTAAGCAGAGTCGTACTAGTCATATATACATTCTATGATACAACAATCATACTTAGGAACACAAATGTTTGTACCGTGCGAGGAAGAGTGAATTGATCCCACAACCATTGAAAGTAAGGCGGTGTGCTAAACCGCTAGAACACTGAGTCATCAAGTATTTATTTTATGCTAATATATTATATACAGCAGGAACAAGTTATAATATTTAAGCAAGTTATCCAGCCTCTTAGTCATTATTATTAGTTACAAAAATAACTCAACATAATTATTGTGCAAAGTGAATAAATAATATTTAAGAATCGCAACAATATAATAATTGTAATATTTTAAATTATATACGTCACCTACATAATGATAATAATATAATATATTATTATGTCAACAGATGTACCAATATAGTTCCTGCGACTATCTCCTCATTTATTCCTTATTGCCGCAGTCTACCCTAGACGGCTGCACTGTTCCATTGCCATATTGGATGGATGAACCACTCATAAATCACCATTTCATATAACTAATATCATGCCTGTGTACAGTAAACATTATTACACAATGGACCAACTGACCTGACTTTCTGCACTCTATCTCCCACTGGTAACTCTCACCCCTCCCCTCTCCCAGCGTATACCGCAGGAACACTTCTATTCTACATTTTATTCTATATTCCTTCTAATCTGCGGTAAATTAGAAAAAATCACCCATTAGTTAATGTTGGTTTTTCATAAGGAATATATGAGATTTCATAATGAATGATTTAAAAAAAAAAAAATACTCGAGTAAATGAACTACTAAGAATATGATTATGGGTGATGTGGATGACCTATGAGGACTACCAAATAGTATTTTATCATGTACCAACTATTACCTGACAGAACCAGAGTAGTGCTTCGTCAGGAATTGCTGCAACTCTCTTAAAGGATGGAAAAAATGCTCATTCTACTTTTAAACTTCCGCTATGCGTAAATATTAAGCAACAATCTACATGTTCTGTCCGCAAAAATTGCCCTCTTGGTAAATTACTTCAAGACGCCTCATTGATTATGTGGGATGAATACACCATGAGCCAAAGAGCACATATACAAGCCGAAGATAGAACCTTCCAAAATCTTAGAAACTCCTCTGCTCTCATAGGCGGCAGTACTTTGGACTTGGTGGCGATTTCGGATAGACTCTCTCTGTCATTAACAGAGGTACACGAGCAGATATATCAATATAATTGAAATCGTCTCCCTTATTGACTTCAATTGAAAGATTAAAATTATGAGCTCTCATAAATATTATTATGAGACCTCATTTTTATGGAAACACAGATAGTGATTTCCTGCAACAATTGGTCAAACCTGGGGAAAAAAAATTCCCATTCCAAATTTAAACAGAAATGTGCTGGATGAGTCCCTAGGTCAAAACGTCCATAATTTAAAAAAAATAGTAGATGCTGTATATCCTTACATCGAGAATTTGAACGAAAAAGACTTATATTGTTTGTGTTCTAGGGTATGTAATAGTATCACCCAGGAATGATACTCAAGTACGAAATAAACAATATGATAATCAAAAAGTTCCTGGCCAAATAAAAAATTACAAATCAAATGATACCGTGAATAATATCGCAGTTCTCTATTCGCAGGAATTTTTAAATTCACTAAACTCTTCTGGAATATCACAATACGAATTGAGATTAAAAATCGGAATTCCAATCATGCTTTTGAAAAGTTTAAGCCCATTTAACATGTGCAATGTGACGAGGCTACATACTAAGGAATTGAAGGACAATTTAATTGTAGTGATAATCATCACCGGCCCCGCAGCTGGGGAACTAACTCATATACCAAGAATACCGAAGATCAAAATTGATCTGCCAATACCATTTAAACGGTTTCAATTTCCGTTTAAAACATTTTTCGCATTAACTTTTAAGAAATCCTAAGGCCAGACCTTCGAATTAGTAGGGATCGAAAAGAATGTTTTACTCATGGCCAACTGTATGTTGGCCTATCACGGATCGGAGTTCCTGAAAATCAATTTAATTTGCTGCCACAAAACAAAACAACATCAAATATGGTGTACAGGGAGGCTCTGGGAGGCTCTCAATAAAACTGTAACTCGACGTAAAAAAAAGGTATGTGTGTGTACGAGACATAAAAACTTCTTTGTATTTATTTTAAATTTCGAACGCGCTTCGCATTCATTTGTTTTAAGAATAAAAAATATTGTTAGAGATGTGAAAATTCCATCATGGCGTTTTATTTATCTCCACAAATTCTCAACTATGATTTATACAGTGTGTGTATGTTAAAATTTACAATTTTTGTTATATGTTCGCATATTGTTATATTTCGAACCCTTGGCGGGCCGTTATAAAGTATAAAACAATTTCACTTACCTATCTATGTTTTGATCTTAAATAACTATGCCGATTTTGATGCGGTTTTTTATTAGAGTGACTCAAGAGAAAGATTTAAGCTATATATGTTATACCACCTCTACTGAGCACGAATCTTTAATCGCGCGATATAGGTTATCCACGGTTATAGGTTATAGCTTAACAACGCAAGCGAAGCCGTGGGCGGAAGCTAGTTATTATTAATATTATAAACGCGAATGTTTGTGAGTATGGATGGATGTTTGTTACTCTTTCACACAAAATCAGCTGAACAGATTTTGATGAAATTATACAGCTTATACATCAAAATAACATATAGGGCATAACTTTCACGCGGGTGAAACCATGGGCACAGCCAGTGCTATAATAATTATTTTCTAATAAATATTTTTCAAAGTAAATTTAAACCGTCTACTGTCAACAGTGAACTTTATTCTCTTAGATATTTTATGTATACTAGCTGTGCCAGCGGTTTCACTCGCGTTAAATTTCAGTAAAAAAATGTAGCCTAATAAATATAGCTATATATTACTGTAAATTTTCATCAAAATACGTTCAGTAGTTTTTGCGTGAAAGAGTAACAAACATCCATACTTTCGCGTTTATAATATTACTAGCTACTTGCCCAGGCTTCGCACGGGTGTACAATTGTACATGTATTATATATCTAAACCTTCCTCTTGAATCACTCTGTCTATTTAAAAAAACCGCTTCAAAATCCGGTACGTAGTTTTAAAAATTTTAGCATACATAGGGACGGACAAACAGCGACAGCGACTTTGTTTTATACTATGTAATAATGATTAAAATTGTAGGTGTCATACCTAATATGCTTTTACTGAACATCTATGATGATTATATGGCGTATGCTGTAATTTTTCTTTATTTCTAACCGAACACAGATTTTGAACAAATTTGTATTGTGTAATTATATATTAACATATATTTTCTTGTCTCATGTAATTGGAATTGCAGACAAGCTGACGGTCCATCTGATGGTAAGTTGTCGCCTATAAAACATGAACAGCGCCGCACTATCAAGTTTCACGTGACGCAAGTGGTACCTACCACCCATGTATTACCATTCCAGAGTACAAACATATCATAGATTGTAAGGTCACTGCTATATGACATCCTTTAACCATGCCTATGTACTCTCAATTGTATTACTAATAAGGATAAACTATTGATTTTATGTACAACAATTGTAATAATAAACCACATTATTCATTATTATGTTCTCAAGTGGCGGCCAGTGTCATCTGCGATACAATGTATAGGACATGTTTATATTTGTTTTTAATAATCGCCAAGAGCAACGAATATGGTGAGTGTAAACAGCACTTCATTTTACTGTAGAACTCTTTACTTTTTAGAACCGCAGTTGGCCTTTACAGCTTCACCCAACGAATGAGAACCCCTTTTTTCAAACTACTTAACTGATACCCGCCGCTTCGTCTGCATTTTTGAGATGATCTCTATGCCCGTCCTTGTGACAACCTTCTCTGTTTCCACAATATTTGATTAAAATCCGTTTAACGGTTAGTTGTCAAAAGATAAAAAAACAGACAAGTCCACTTTCGAATTTATAATAAAAAATATTAGTATGTAATTTTTTTTTTACTT